GATTAGAATTTCAGGGTTTGATTTTTGTTTGGTTGCTTTAATGTCTAACTAGCAGGTATGTGTTAGCTATGTTTCTTTTCATATTTGATTGTTGGTCTGTCTAAAACCGGTATCTCTGTTGTTTCCAAGTGCTGTTGTGGCTAATATAGAAATGGTTGATTTTATAAATGTCTCTTGTATACAGTGATTTTTGGCTTCGGGAAATAATAACTACTTAATAAAGTTGTTAAGAATCAGTACATTTTATTGTCCTTAATTTGGGCTGATGAGGCAGTCTGTGAGGACTTTAGACAGAGATCAACCAGCCCTATGGGTGGGCTTTTTGGATAGAAAACATTTTCATTTTGCACTTAGATGTTTGGAGGCAATGGGGGAGGGGGGGCGCGGGCGGGGGGGGGGGTGTAAAACCAAGGGTGAGACTGAATAAAATGAAAAAGGACTTCCTGTTTTTACCACAGACCATTATTTCATTTTATTTATTTATTTGTTTGTTTGTTTTTAAGACAGGGTTTCTCTATGTAGCTTTGTAGACCTGGCTGGTCTTGAACTTACAGAGATCCACCTGCTTCTGTCTACTAAGTGCTGGGACTAAAGGTGTACACCACCACGGCCTGGCTTCTGTTATTTAATAGTTAAAATTGGGCAAATTCCTTGAGTTGTCTATTAAACTTTGACAGTAATAAATATGATTTGTTCTAGCATCATTTCTTTTTACTGTTGTTGAATAAGGTGGTCATGATCTTCATGCAGAGCATTATGGTATTGCTTGACCCAAACAAATTAGTAGTGATATGTTTAGATATTCCTAGTATTTTGGCAAGTATACTGACAGTTATTAAAGACTTACACAGTCTTTCATTCATTTCAACAAATATTTATTAAGTCTTTGCTGTACACCAAACTGTAGTGGGATATTCACTTTGTCTCCTGTGGCACTGACCATGCCCATTGTGGGTGGAGCCAGGGGCAGAAGTGACCTGTGGAAGGAGGTCTGAGGAGGAGCCAGGAACGCTCTCTTGCTGGCCTGACCCGGAAAGGAGAGCATCCAGTGGAACTTGGTGGTGTTCATCTGTCTAGGTTGTAATTTATTTCTCCCTGAATAAACATCTATTCAGCCTATTTGTTTATCTTGATCCTTATTTAACTGCAATACAAAACACCACTCAGAAAATACTGCAAGGAATCAAACAGACCAAAGGCACTAGGTTTACTCTAGTGTCTGCATTGTATTTAAGGTAGGTGCTCTAGGTAAAGGACCTTATTGAGAAGGCCTTATCTGGATAGGGAGTAAACAGGTGAAGGAGGCAACTATGAAATCACTCAAGGAAAAGTATTCTAGACAGAGGGAAGAGCCAGTGCACTGTCCCTAAGAGTATATGACTGGTGTACTTGCTGATCCATATGGAGGTCTGTATCTAGGGCAAAACAAATGTCAACCATCCTGGTTTTGGTGTTAGGGTATTAAAAACCTATGAAAGTGAAGTGGAGAATGTACCTTGTTTCCTATTCTCTGAAAGTAGCCACATCACACTAGTCCATCTTCTTTAAAGGTTTGGTAGCTTAGATTTCTAAGCATGTTTTTATGAAGGTTTAACCTTTAAAAGGACTATAAGCCATCTAGGCTGTCTGATTTTTTTTCAGAGCTAGTGCTCATCTAAAAATGGGCCCATTATATTTGAATTCACAGATAATTCTCTCCCCCTCTCAAAAAAAAAAAAAAAAAAAAAAAAAAAAAAGCCATATGGAACCTACAACTATAGAAATTTTCTAAAATACATTTATAACCAGCCATAGTGGTGTGCACCAGAGGCAGAGGTAGGCAGATTTCTGTGAGTTCAGCCTGGTCTAAATAGTGAATTTCTGGACAGCCAAAGCAATGTAGAGAGACCGTCTCATACAGACAAATACACAAAAAAGACATCTATACACATACATAAAAAGGATTAAAGTGGAGTTATCCTTTTAGTAGCAACAAAGGATACCCTTATTAGAAGCCTGCTAGAGGATATCAAATAAGAACCCCAGTGTCAAGAATGGTTTTCTTCTTTTGAAATTGGAGATTCCAAAGACCCTTCAAACATTACAGGGTATTGTCATTGTTCCTGGTTACCTTTCCAAACTTGAGTAATAACCTATTACTCAAGACATTACATTTTTGAGTCACAGAACATGGAAAAAAATCATCTGGTATTGACCTGGGAACTTTATCCCTACTGGGTAGCTTTCATAAAAGTGCTAAAGATGCTTTATCTGCTCTGGAAAAAGAAAAGTAAGCATCAGCTGTAAACTCTTCCAGTTACAGTCATGACTGGCCTGGCAAGACATGGTGCAGTAATGGCACAGACACCAACCACTTTCTCCTAGAATTTAAGGCCCACACCCAGCACCATTATTGGCTGAGAACAGATGGTAGAGATTGGGTTCCTATGAGAGAACCTACTACTATTATTTTGCTCAATAGACATAATAAACTGACTCCTAATGATTTCCCTTTATACTCATAGATTAAGGAACTTCGGAAACCCCTCGTCAGAGATGCTTCTGTTTGTAATAGATAACACAGAGACTTACAACTGGCTAACAGCCAGAGAATAAAATACTACAGAATGTTTATCTCTAAAGGGAATTTATATATCACATCCTTCACTCCCAAAGCCCAGGGAGTTGGGGTGGAAAGAGCCAAAGGGAATGGATGGTCACAAGGAACTAGTGTCTTCTGGACACAGCAGGGCAGCTACACATGTGAACTCACAGTGGTTATGACAGCATACAGAAGACCTGTTAAGGCTAAGCCAAACCACATCCTAGCATAGAAAGAGGAGGTGGAGATTCTGCCCCTAGCTGAAGTGCTATTGGGAATTGTTAGCTGAGAATTGATAGCTGCTGGGAGAGGAAGAGTGAGTTTTTTTCTGAGAGTGTAGCCCCTGATAAGTCAACTGTGTTTCAGTGGAAGGCCACATATCCAAGAATATTTGGGCAGCACAAACTGATATTGACAGGTGGTGGGGTGGGGGTGAGGGCCACTTTGATTTGTTTGTTTTGCTTTGTTTTATTTTTAAGACAGGTTCTTACTGAGGCCTGGGCATCAAGAACTAGACTGGCTGGCTAGCAAGTCTCAGGGATCTACATGCCTATTACCTGACTTTCTCAGCCTTGGGATTACAAAGCATGTTATATTCAGTAGTTAAGAACATTTGTTGCTCTTACAGATGACATGGGCTTAATTTACATATTTACATGGTAGTTCACAACCATTCCCTAATTCTAGTTTCAGGGGATCTGATGTCCTCTTCTGACCTTCATGAACACCAAACATGCATCTGGTATACATAGATACATGGAGGCAAAATATTCATAAACTAAAACAAATTTAAAAGGGAGGAAGAAAGAAAGAAACCTTAAAGCTTGCCACAATTTCTGGTCTTTAACACAGGTTCTATGGAGCTTTGCTGACTGAATTATTTCTGCAGCAATGGAGGTTTCGGTTTATGATTGAAAGGATAATTATATCAGTTTGTATAGTGTTGCCTAGAAAGCAGAAATGCACAGCATAGCTATGGAAGGCCAGGAAAACTGGATTGTCTATGGTACTTTTAATGTGACGCTGTTACAAAGGTACTTCCCAGGTGGTTTGCCCAAGTGTGCTAAGCTGACTGGCCCGCAAGAAACAGGGATCCACTTCTCTGTCCTTCTTGGGGCTAGGACTGAAAGTATATTGCACACCTGGAGTACACCCAGATCTTTATAAAAGCTCTCTCCCCATCATCTTGAATCTTGGCTTTGAAGGGTTCTAGACTTGGCCAAGATGGCGAAAATCAGGCTGAAGAGACACAAATGTCAGTGCCCACTTGTGGTAGAGAGTTGTTTGCTGGAACAGCTGTTTTATCCTGGGACTATGAAGGGCTTGGCTGTCATTCTTCATGTCAACTTTGAATTGCTCCATTCTGTGTTAAGATACAGGAGTCCACAGTGGAGGTAGGAAGGCCTGGAGTGGCTTGAGGAGAGCATCCTTTAAATGTTAGTTTTGCTAAATAGTTGGCTTGGATCAAAGCGACATGCCTATTACCTGACTTCAGCATCCCACGACCTTCTGTGCTGTGAACACCAGGTGCTTCTGTTTTTGTTGCTGTTTGCTTGTTAGTTGCCTTATTAGTTAGGCAGTTATAATATTTTTCTTAGTTGAAATTCATGGTTTGCCTTAAAGGTCACTCCTTTGTCTTCTCATGTTGTTGCAAATTTGTGACTTGTTTTTCCTGATAAAGGCTTTTTGAACCTTTCTTCCTGAGCATTTCCTTGCACTTGGATTTTTCATGAATGTGTTTAGTTTAAAAGGTACTTCAGCAGACAGGGCAGCTCATTGGTGTTCGAAGTCCACTGCAGTCACTACCCTCTCATTAGTATTACTGTGTTAGTTTTACTTTTTTAGATTGACTTGTGAAATGTCTAGTAGTTCTTGGTTGGCAAATAATTTAAGAACAGAAGTTTACCATTTAGGCTGAGGCATAATCTTGGTCAAGAAGCTTAATGTTTCAAGGGAGGTTTAATAATTAATTTGCTTTGTCTTGTTTTTTAGGGATGATTTTTTAATTTGGCTGTAAAAATAAGTAATTTCTAAGTTGTATCTTTGTGCAGACGCCTATATGCATGGGGCTCTTAGGTAGCATGTCCTTGTCCTCAGTTCACTTGAGTGTTTTCTATATGCTGCTATTTGTTATGGTCTTTTGTTCTGACTTTACATGCCCTATGCAGTACTTGTATTCTAGGCATGCAAAGATAGGCCTTGAAACAGTGACCAAACTGAAAGCCATCCAGGGCAAAGGTGAAATAGTATTCATTAACAGGGCAGGTGACTGTGTTGCTTTGTGTTTCTAAATGTTAACACTTTTTTTTTTTTTCTCTGTTAACAATGGGTAGGTAGGGTGGTTTGGAAATCAGTGTGTGTTCAGTAGCTGATTGAGGAGTGTTCTGGAGGGTCTAACATGTCCTTCTTTCTTTTTTAGGAAATTGAAAATGGCCCTTGAGCTATGCTAAGTCTATAATGGGAAGTGTCACGGTTCGATATTTTTGTTATGGGTGCCTTTTTACATCTGCTACCTGGACAGTTCTGCTTTTTATTTATTTCAACTTCAGTGAAGTGACTCAGCCCCTTAAGCATGTGCCCATCAAGGGGTCTGGGCCCCATGGACCATTTCCCAAAAAATTCTACCCACGTTTTACTCGAAGTCCAGGTCGAGTATTAGATCCGCAGTTTAAAGCAAACAGAATGGGCGATTTAATGAATAATCACATTGAAGATCAGGATAAAGGCCTCTCAAAGTCCTCCTCTGAGCTGGGTAAGTACTCTAAACCATGCGAAGCTCAGGATTAGAAATGTCCTGGTGTCTCCGTAAGCTACATGGTTCTAGTTAGATCTGTGCAGGAGCTGCTGACAGGGAAGTTGTTTAAAGTCTGAACCCGAAGATCATAGGAGCCTTTTATATAAAAACTTATGTGTTCATTTTTGTGGGGCATGGGTTCATATAAATACTTATTGAGATTGGGGCCTACTGAAGTCAGTCCATTGGGATTTAGTAATCTATTTCTTTTATGGAATATTATCAGTAATTTTCACTAGTCACAGATAATTTGTCTTATGGATGTAATAAAGTAAGAAAAAGAGAGAGAGAGAGAGGGAGAGGGAGAGGGAGAGAGAGAGAGAGAGAGAGAGAGAGAGAGAGAGAGAGAGAGAGAGAGAATGTGTGTGTGTGTGTGTGTATGTTTCCTAGTTCAACTGTTTTTTGAGACCGGGTCTCACTATGTATCTATCCCTAGCTGGCCTGGAACTTACTATGTAGTTCAGGACAGAAATCCACCTACCTCTGTCTCCTGAGTGCGGGGATTAAAGCTGTGTGTACCAACACATAATAAAATGTTCTTAAAATAATGGTTTTGAGCAGGTGTTCATGCACACTTGGTTTGCTAAGAATCTGACATCAGCCTTACCTGAAACCACTGCCAGCCAATTTGAAAAATACAGTGATATAATCTTATGATAATGGCAAAGTCAAGGCTTGGGGACAGTGGTTGGTGAGATCATCTTTTGAGACCTAAGACACTGACTGTAATTTCGCTCTTTCAGGTATGATTTTCAATGAACGTGATCAGGAATTGAGAGACCTGGGCTACCAGAAACATGCCTTTAATATGCTTATTAGTAACCGTTTGGGATACCACAGAGATGTGCCAGACACCAGAAATGCAGAGTATGCTCCTTATTGGCTTCTGATGGTAGTGTTTTTAATGCCAATGTGGGCAGTCAAGGGCAGGGTTCAGATTTTGCATTATTTGCCATACCAAAACAGTGAACTGGATCCCACTCCTACTTACTACCTTTCCATAACTTTTTGTACTTTATTATTTTCTTTCTTTCAAAGGTGTCTTCAGTTTGCTATGCAATACATAGACCCTGGACAGAATAAGATGTCGATGCTGGGTTCACAGGGCTCAGTCTGTTTGGGGCAGGTGTGGCAACCTGTTTTGCAGCAGCATGATATGGGGTTGGTGGAGCAGTCTGGCCTTGCAGCAAGTGGTCTCACTGCAACAAGGAGGCCTTTCCCCTGTAGGGACAGCACAGAGAGTGTTCTGAAGTGTGAGTGTGGCAAATTGGAAGGACTAAGCCTCATCCACTGTGGCTATGGTGGGAAAGCTGCAGGGGGTTGTAACTAGGTAGGACGGACAATGGAGGGCTGTGAGGCTGAAGGAAAGAGGTCAGGGTCTTGGAATTTATTCTTTAATAACTTTGTAGGTACTGTATCGAAGCTCTTCTGTCATCTGAGAACACTGAAGTTTACTCAAATCTTTTTTACATTATTATTAGGAAAAAACTAAAGATTTCAAAGACAAAGTTTTGTTACTGTGTTTCCACTTGAAACCTCATTGAGAAGCTGGATATCAACTTCAGAGTGCTACATATGCAGTAACTTGATGAAAAATCCATTATGTAACTTCTCTACCAAAAGAAAGAAACCATGTTTTAAAGATAAAATGACTTAACATGATGTAAAGCAAAGAATAAACCACCGTGTTTTCATAAATGCTTAAAAATCACTGTAATGTCAGAAAGAAGCTAAACAAGATATTAGGAAATAACACAAGACATTTGAGCTTCTTAAAATATCAGATTTTCTTGTTTTGATTGTTAAAGGTGTAGAGGAAAGTCCTACCCGACTGACTTGCCAACCGCCAGTGTTGTTATCTGCTTCTATAACGAAGCCTTCTCTGCTTTGCTGCGGACTGTGCATAGTGTTGTGGACCGCACACCAGCACACCTTCTTCATGAGATCATCCTTGTGGATGACAACAGCGACTTTGGTAAGTGATGCTGTGAATGGTCACAGTTCATCGAGGCTCTTACTCACTGTGTGATGCACCACAGCTGAGCTTACAACCTGTCCATTTATCATACAATGATTTGCTGAAATACTTTATCTTTGTCATCTTTTTACAGTGTTACCCAATTTTACCCCTGGAGAATTTCCCCGTGGCTTGCTATTAAAAATGTCTGTTAGGAATTAAGCTCAGATTCATAGGAAGTTATGAAGACCAGTTTGCTCTTCAACCATTTTCCCATGTTGGTTCTTTTACACTTACAGTACAGTGAAGACAATGGAATCCCACAATGGAGAAGTGTCAGTTTATCCTGCGTGAAGATTGTTGTTAGCTCCAGTGCAGTCTGGAGAAGCATACTGTATCACCTAGCAGTCCCTGGTGCTCCCTTTAGAGTTACACTCTGTTTTTGTGGCCATAGTACCCTTTCCTGGCATCTGGTAACCTCTGATTTTGTCATTTAAAAAGTGATATATAGACGGATATGCAATATCCCTTTTGAGATTTGCACTTTTCTCTTGGCACAGTGCCATACACCATGCTTATAGAGTAAGCTACACCAGTTGTTTCCAGAGTAGACTGCATTCATATAGCTCTTAGATGTTATCTGAATCCCAGTTTTCTTAGAATCATTACGTATTTTATATACCTTTCTTTAACTGTAGATTTTCACAAAAAGCTTTCTACTATTAACTCCCGTTCAGCTCTCAGCTGCTTTCAAGATAGTGGGGATCCCTTTTATAGAGGTGGAGATAGAAGAGTAAGTGGCCTTTGCTCAGGACAGTTTTTGAGTAGTAGCGTGGAGGTTCTTCTTAGTCTGCCTGGCTCCCAGCCTTTACCCTTCAGCACAGCACTGCAGACCTGGATGGAGACATTTTCCATACACTCAACATTAGACCCTGTAAAGCTTTAACATAGCTGTATACAAGTATACTTATGGACTGATGAACACAACACCCATGAGACCTTAATGCTCAAACTTGGGCAAATAGAGAAACTATGAGAGAAATTCTGGAAAGGTTCATACATATCAAAATTTATCCCCCCCCCCCACCTTTTTTTGGTTTGTTTTTTGAAATAGGGTCTCTTTATGTAGTTCTGGCTGTCCTAGAACTCCTCCTATGTAGAACCAGGCTGGCCTTAAACTCACAGAAGCCTGCCTGCCTCTGCCATCCAAGTGCCAGGGGTAAAGATGAGCAACAGCACACCTGGCTTTTTTTTTTTTTTTTTTTTTTTTAAGTCTAGGCTGCCTCAAATTTACTACCAAGCCAAAGTAGGCACTGAAGTTGTAGGCACAAGATTTCATGTTTGGCTTCATTTCAGACATTGTCTGTGGAAATACACATCTGAGGCAATATCCCTCTTGGCTAGGTTCCAGCTTTCACTCTAGGTTTCCTCTTACTCCTACAGAGGATGCTAGGATGTTTTAAAGTGAGGCAGAGTCTAAAACATTTCTTTGATCATTTGTAGATGCCTTATTGTATGTCTCATATGGTGTGAGTAATTATGGAACTGTTATTTTCAGATGATTTAAAAGGAGAACTAGATGAGTACATCCAAAGATACCTGCCTGCAAAAGTCAAGGTCATAAGAAATAGGCAACGTGAGGGATTGATCCGAGGAAGAATGATTGGAGCAGCCCACGCTAAAGGTATATCTTTGTTGTGGCTCTGTGGTGTTGGACACCTATAGGGGTTCACAAAAAGCTGTACATCTTACTGTTCTGTTGCTGTGAAGAGTCACTATGAGCAAGGCAGTTTATAAAAGAAAGCATTTAATTTAGGGCATATGGTTTCAGAGAGTTAATCCATGACCATATGGCACTGGAGCAGTAGCTGAAAGCTTACATCTGATCCGCAAGCAAGAGTCAGAGACAGAGCTAATTGGGCCTGGCATGGGTTTCTGAAACCTCATAGTGCACCTCCAGCGACACACTTCCTCCAGCAAGGCTACAACTCCTAACCCTAAACAATTCCATCCAGTGGGGACCAGACACTTGAATATGAGCCTACAGGGGCCATTCTTATTCAGTCTGTTACACCATGTTCTCATTGGTTGTTGCCCAGAGGAGTAACAAAGCTTGTTCTGTTTGGAAAGATTATATAACTCTGACCTGCTGCCCTAAAGCACAGGGTAAAAAAATTGCTGCTAGAGCCCTCACTGGCCTGTTTTTCTAGTGATCTTTTGGTTAATTATTGGCCTCTAACATAAGTTTCTTATCTTGCTGCTTACATAAGTGGAAAAATCCTAGCTAATAACTGAACTTTAAAAAAAAAATCTATATTTAAAAATATAGAAATATGAAGCCGGGTGCTGGTGGCTCACATCTTTAATCTCAGCACTCAAGAGGCAGAGACAGGTAGATCTCTCTGAGTTCGAGGCCAGCTTAGTCTGCAGAGCATGTTCAAGGACATGCTCCAAAGCTATACAGAGAAACCCTGTCTCGTAAACTAGGGGTGTGTGTGTGTGTGTGTGTGTGTGTGTGTGTGTGTGTGTGTGTGTGTGTGTGTGTGGTACACATCGTTAGAGTCATCGTCAGGATTTAATTTGATCTTGAGTAACTTAATTTTTTTAAAAATATGGACAAATGAATATACTTAAAGTAGTTCATGGGCATATCAGAAGTCATAAAGGCAGTTTGGTAAGTCCTGACTTGAGCCTTTCCCTCATAGTGAGGTCACCTATTCTCTGCTGTGGATTGCTCTCCTTCAGATTCCCCCTCCCCCCCAGGTCTGTGGTGATAAGCACTGGGCACCACCACTCTCCCCTGGAGCCCTGGCCCATTGCATTTGCTGGGCTTGGTTGACTTTCACTTTGGATATGTGATCTTTCTCTTTAAAAACCTACTGTGACCAGGAAAGGAGAGCAACCCCTCTGCATCCAGTCAGAGCCAGTGCCCTGAGGTCAGCCTCTCCACAGCTTTAGCCTGGAGAAAACTCTGGAGCATTGAAAATTATGACATTTGAAGCATTGTGCTATTGTGGTGAATGTTTGCTGTTATTTTATGACCTGGTTGTCTTTGTTCAGATATGGCATAGGATCTGTCAGGTTCAAGTCAATTTGAGATCAACTAACTTGCTCTCATTTGAAAAAGTAGTACTTTCAGAATGAAGAAAAGCTATGAAGACGTTTCTCCTTAAAGAAACCCTGACTTCATTTTCTGCTGAGCACCAGCAGTGCTGAGGAGTGTTTATTCTATATTAGGTAATAGCTAGATGTTTTATGTCCATATTGAGTTTGTGGATAGACAGGGAACTAGGTGACTAATTTGCTGTCATCAATGAAAACTTAGAGGTATTTTTGTCAAGAATTTATGTTTTAATAAGTTATGTAAAATCTACTATGATGCCTATTGAGAATAATCATGCTCTCTGAGTTTCTCAAAGAAATTTGGAGTTATCACAACAACAGCTTTCATCCTTGCTCACATTTATCAAGGAGGCACAAAGATAACAGGATAAAGTTTTAGCATTTATATTTGCTAATAAGGCTGAATGAACCCTTAGAGCCCTGCAGGAAATAAGAAATGAGCTGGAGGTAGTGCAGTGGAGAAAGATGATATGTATGGTTGCTGTCTTACCGTGGTTGGCACAGCAGTCAATACTCCACCCTGCAGGCCCTGCACCTCTTTCAAGACAGTTACCATGTGATGCTGAGCCATTGGTGGCAGTGCAGTTATGGCCTCTAAGGCATGAATGTACTAGCTTAGATACTTAGGAGTAAAATGACTGTAGTAAAAGTGGATTCTACAACTGGCCAATGCCACTGCACCAGAACACATTGGGTCTGGCTGTCACTGGGAGAGGAGGAGTCTCCTGAGTTGCCTGACAGCTTGTTGGGGTTGTGCACATAGTTTGTAGCCTCTCCATGACAGTGTACATTTCAGAGAAAACTCTTGGCCAGAGGATATCTTTCCCTAACCCAATTGGCAGTGCAAAGAGTAGTTCTTGATGGGGGTGGCATTGGTGGCCATCCATGGTCTGTACGTGACATTCCCATCCTTGCTGGTTAGCTGCACCTTGGCCAAGTATGAGGTAGCACTCCCCTATCTTCTCCCTTCACCTCTCCAGGAGAAGTCCTGGTGTTCCTGGACAGCCACTGTGAAGTGAATGTGATGTGGTTGCAGCCCTTGTTGGCCATCATCCTTGAGGATCCGCACACTGTGGTGTGCCCTGTGATTGACATCATCAGCGCCGACACACTTGCCTACAGCTCATCCCCAGTGGTTCGGGGAGGTTTCAACTGGGGGCTGCACTTCAAGTGGGATTTAGTTCCTCCATCTGAGCTGGGAGGAGCTGATGGAGCTACTGCACCAATAAGGTAAAAGAAGTTGGCAGAATCCCACTAGCATTGCCTTGAAAAAGAATAGTCTATTAAGGAAAAGTGATTATTTATAAGGGGCAAATGAAGGTCTTGACTTAACTTACATGCTAAAAACAATTTTTGAAGTCAGGTACTAACAAGAGAGACCCTATTTCAAAAACAACATTTTTGTTTGTTTATTTGTTTGTCTTTAAGACAGTTCTGGCTGTCCTGGAACTCACTCTGTAGACCAGGCTGGCCTCAGACTCAGAGATTCACCTGCCTCTGCCTCACATGTACTGGGATTAAAGGGATGCACCACCATGCCTGGCCCAGTAAAGATGCTTAAGTGGTATAGTTTTATATAAACTCAGCCCAGAGTTAATAGTAACAAATTGTCAATGCCTATAAATGTTGTGTAGCTTTCTGAGAGAAGCAAATAGATAACTGTTTCCTGGGGTAGTGTGGGTGCCCACGGGCTCTGTGGTCTCAGACTAATCTCCAGTTCATCAATACAGGCTGAGTATCTCTTTGAGGAAAATGTTTTAGATTTCAGTTATTTTTTTGTTGTATTTTGGAATATTTGCATATCAATTGGATTTTTGGGATGAGACCCAAGTCTTAATTAACTATGTAAATGCCCTTGTGGTTTTTTTGTTGTGTTTTTGTTTGTTTTTTATAGGGTTCTCTGTGGCTTTGGAAGCTATCATGGAACTAGCTCTTGTAGACCAGGCTGGCCTTGAACTCACAGAGATCCACCTGGCTCTGCTTCCCGAGTGCTGGGGTTAAAGTGTGTTTTATAGTTTTAACACAAGACCTGGAGGTAACTTGATGCAGCCTTCAGGAACCTCTATTGCAGACAAGAAGTCATATTCATCTTTTTAAAAAATGTTTTTTTAGTTTTTTGTACGATATATTTTGGGTCATATTCTTTCCCCTCACCAACTCCTCCCAGATATCTCTCTCCCTCTCCCTCTCCCTCCCCCCTCTCCCTCCCTCCCCCCTCTCTCCCCCCCACCCAACTTCATATTCTTTCTTAAAAAACAAATCCAAGAATAAAACAAAGTGCACACAAAAATACACATACCTCCCCAAAGAGTCCATTGTATGTTGACCAACTATTCCAGTGCATGGGCCTGCTTTGGGTGTGGTTGATATACCCAGTGTTGCAGAAAACTAATTTTCCCTTTCCCAGCAACTACAGTCTTGGCTGTCTTAATTTTGATTCCTTTGGACTTTTTTATTCCAAAGTGTTTTTTCAGACATGTAGGTTTTGTTGTTTTGTTTTTTAAAGACAGACTGGGCTAATATCATGTAACTGTAGGATTGGTGATTGAAGTTTCTGCCTGCTGTATGAGCCCCCTTACCAACTGAGCCACATTTAGTCCATGTGTAAATGGTTTTTAGAGTATGTAGTCTTCTCCCAAGCTTCCAACCTTTTCCTTTTCTTTCTTTGAGTGTGTTGAACAGTTATTTTGAAGTCTGTTTGATAGTTTCATAATTAAAACTTGCACATCTATTTTTGTTGTAGACTGTTTCTCTTTTCTGTGATTTACCTCCCTGGTGTTTCAGTTATTTATGTGTCTGCTCTTTTGTTAGGCACTCTAGAGTCCTTGTTGACTACTCTGCCTATCTTCTGTAGGCAGTTTAGGCCAGTAGAACCCACCATGAACATTTAGTTGCAGTTCAAGAGGTCAGATGCTTGGAAGCTGAGATGGAGCCTTTAGGTAGTCCGTGCTGCAGCTTTTCTCTTTGCAGGACAGGGTGCTGTACCCTTCACCCTAATGGCCATTGTTGCCAAGCTGCTGAAGCGGGGGCTTGGCTCTCATGTGTTTTAGGAGTTAACAGAATCCCTGGTCTCAAACCAGAAGCCAGTAGTGGCCCTTTTACCCCATTCACATGCCAGGTATGAAGACTCTAAATATTTAGATTTCTAAAAGTGTTCTAAACATTATGGATGTCACGGTTGGCACAATCAGTCATTTGAGAGCCACTGCTGAGGTTTGTCCAACTCAAAAATTGAGACTGTCTCTGTGGCAGGCCCTGGAGTCAGTTTTTGTCCCAGTGCCTCTCTACTAGGCCATCAAAAGGAATTATAGTCATTTGAGTTGGATTTCTATCAAGCTTGATTACAGTAAGAACATAACCTTATGCCAGATACTTAATATAGAACCAGCAATCCAGGAAATTCAGGTATGTGGCCTAGCTTGTTCCTGATTTGATGAATAGGTTTCCTTTGTATTTGTTATCATTTGTATTTGTTTACCTTTTGTCTAATGACAGCTAATCTCTTGTGTCCCAGAGTCACAGAGACTTTGAATGAACACAGGCTGTGGTCCTTTTTCTAGGTCACCTACAATGGCTGGAGGGTTGTTTGCAATGAATAGACAATATTTCAATGATCTTGGACAGTATGACAGTGGCATGGATATCTGGGGAGGAGAAAACCTGGAAATCTCATTTCGGGTAATTCTGATTACGTGTGTGTTGTTATTAAATTGTCTGTAATGGAATAGCAGTTTAGGGACAAAGTGAACCTTCTGAGCAGGTGAACCCCATCTACCACCTATCTGGACCTGTCTGCAGAGTACCTGTCAGCCCATAGCTGACATAATTTTGAAAACACAAACAAAACAGTGCTTTAAAAGGCAGTTTTTCTTCAAAATTTTTTCAGGTTGAAAGATATCATTAATTAGTTTTCTTTTGTACTCTTTTCTTTTTAGCAAAAGGAAATGAATCCCATTAATAATAAAAGTGTATACACTATCACACATGACACATGGAGAACAGAGGACAACTTATAGGAATTGGTTCTCTTCTTCTATCATGTAGTTCTTGGGGATTGAGCCCAAGTTGTCAGACTTTTTGGCAATTATCTATCTACTCAGCCATCCTGTTTGTTTGTTTGTTTAAGTTCTCTTCACCACTGAGCCATCTCAAGCCATCTTTCTAGCCCCAAGACTCCCAGTATTAACCTCAGGTCCCACTGTTCATTCTCATGCATGTGCATTGCTTATGCAAGAACACTGCATAAACAGGTAAGAAAAAAAAGTTCTTTTCTTGGAAATAAAGTGTATATAAGAAAGTACATGAAAAAACAAGACCAGCTAATAAGCATTCCTTGTCCTTAAATCCTTAAGAGCAAGTCCATTCACACAACAAATGATAACACAATTCAGACACATGAAAGCAAATGACTGTTTCAGAACTTGTATTTTTAATTTCAGGAAGCCCTAATTTTTAAATGTCTCTACTTTCTTCTGAGTATATCTTGTACAAGAGACACTTATAGGTTGCATAGCCACCATTCACAGTCTGCTTCACAGTCTGAACTGACAGTTGATGCCTGTTTGCTTCTGGCTAGATCTGGATGTGTGGTGGGAAGCTCTTCATCATCCCTTGCTCAAGAGTAGGACATATTTTCCGAAAAAGGCGGCCATATGGATCTCCTGAAGGCCAAGATACCATGACGCACAACTCCCTGAGGCTGGCACATGTCTGGTTAGATGAGTACAAGGTGAGTGCGTGAGGCTGGCCTTTCATTCCGCTCATGCATTGTTCTCCTTGGTTGACCTTCACTGCTGTGTCATTCCTCTTTGGGCTTCACTCAGCTTTGGTTCTCACCTGACTCTTGTAGTGTGACCTGTGTGCACTGGAAGCAGCCGCGTTTTAGTGTGCTGACCCTTCCGGGCCTGTCAGGGTTAGGGATCCCACAGACCTGGCTGTACTTCCCCACCCAGCACGCTTCACTGCTCACTCAGCCACTTTTCCCTTTCTGTCCTACCTTGTACCGCATTGTTTTCTTTGCAGCCTCTTTACCAAGTGTAATTTGCATGTCAATTTTAGAGCATTTTGACACATCAAAAAGAAACACTGTACCCTTCATGTGTCACCTGCCCACAAGCCCTAGACAGCCACTCATCTGTCTTTTTTAGACCTCTCACACATGTGTGCCCTTCTGTGGCTGCACTCCACTACTTCCCATTGCCCAGGGATACTCTGTCCATCTGGTTGTCACCTGGTGGGCATTTGGGCTGTTTACATGTTAACTCTTAGGAAAGCTGCCATGATTATTTGTATGCAGTTGCTACTGTCATTGAAATGGGTTATCGTGAATTCCATTCTTGTGCCTCCATGTTCTGGGGTTACAGGCTTGCATGCAGTAACATGCCTAGTTGAGTACCTGAGCTCTTATTTTGGTGACAAAAGATGACAAAGGGAATGTACAGTAATCTGCAACCCTGTAAGGTAAATGTCCATGTCTCAGTCTGTGAAGTGTGGAGGAGGGAGCTAGGAGCAGAGCAGAGACAGGGCCTCAACGCATGGAAGCAGCAGCTGCTTTTCCTGTGGGAACACCATTGAAGAGACAGCAGTCCCCAAGTCAGAAGTCTTGTCAGAACGTGAACCTTTGTGTGGAGTACAGTGGTGTGAGCTGAGTGCTGAGCTACACTGTTCTCCAGGAGCACTTGTATGAGACACTGGGCTGCGTCTTTTCAAAATGAGCCCTGGCTTGTAAATGATAAAATTCAATTCCTTAACAGCAGGACCTGATAGCCTATACCTTTAATCCCAGCAGAGGCAGCTGGTATTTCAAGGCCAGCCAGGGATATAAAATATAAAGTGAGACCCTGTCTCAAAAACAAAACAACCCCCCCCCCACCATTATGTAGTGAAGTGTATCAGTCAGTATTCGGGAGAACAGTACAGCCAAAGACCAGTGTTTTTCAAATTAGTACATGTCATAAAAGTCTTACATGTATAAAAAGACCATTCAAAGAGGAAACAAAACCAAATGTGAATCTCAATGGTATGATGTCTTGTTTTATATCATAATTAAAATGTCAAAATTACTGAGTTATAAGCTAGGCATGCTGCTGTGTGGTGGTCCCAGCACTGGGGAGGCTGAGGCAAGACTGTTAAATTTGAGGACATTCTGGGCCACATGTTTGCACTGTCTCAAAAAACTACAAATACTAAATACTTAATACAAGAATAACTATAATTATTTGTAATAGCTTTAAAAAATACATGTTCTATTTCAACTATATTTTTTTTCATGAGGTTGTAGTTTTAAAACAGTGAGATGGCTCAGTGGGTAAATATGCTTGCTGTACAAGTCTGGCAACCAGCTTGATTCAAAACCCTACCTAAAGGTAGAAAGAAAACCAACCCCATGGAGTTGTCCTCTGACTGCCACAAATGCACTAAGGCATATACCCCCTCCATCATAGAAAGTTTTTCAAGAAAACAGCATACAGTATCAGGGTACTTGTACATATGAGCCAGATAATAAAAAAAAAAATGAGTTTCCAGATGACCACAGCAGTGGTGGCAGTGTGTGTTTTTAATCCCAGCACTCAGGAAGCAGAGGGTGGCCCTCTGTGAGTGAGGCCAGCCTGGTTTACAAAATGAGTTCAGGACAGCCAGAGCTGTTACACAGTGAAATCCTGTCGTGGGGCAGTGGGGAGAGGTTATACTAATGAATTAAAAAATTAAAACTATTGTTTTTGATACTGTGTTTTAGATAGGGTCTTAACATGCAGTCTTGGCTGGCCTGAAGCTGCTATATAGTCAAGACAGTTTTGAACTCAGTGATTCTGCCTACCTCTACCTCTCTAAAGCTGAGATTAAAGTGTGTGCAACCATGCCTGGCTCAGTTTTAATTTTTAACATGGTTGGTATCCACGGTTAAGGATTCTCAATCTTCAGCTCATGTTGAGCATAATAGAGGCCAGAGTTTGAGTCACTCATCTCATATGTCATCTGTTGTCTTAGTGTTCTGTTGCTGTGAAGAGACACCATGACCATAGCAACTTTTTTTTCCTTTTGTTTTTTCAAGACAGGGTTTCTTTGTGTAGCAGTCCTGGCTCACTGAAATCTAACTGCCTCTGCCTCCCAAGTCCTGGAACTAAAGGCATGGTCCTCCACTGCCTGGCTTGCCCACGGCAACTTTTATACAAGAAAACATTTAATTGGGTAGCTTGATTACAGTTCTGAGCTTCAGTTCATTATCATCATGGCAGCAGGAAACAAGGCAGCATGCAGGCAGACATGGTGCTGGAGAAGGGGCTGAGATAAGAGTTCTACATCTGCATGCAGGCAGCAGGAAGTCAGTTGAGACACTGGGCAAGTATCTTTAGCATATGAGACCTCAAAGCCCAGTTCCACAAGGCACTTCATCTAACAAGGCCATACCTCGGCCATCAAGGCCTCACTTCCTGATGGTGCCACTCCGTTTGGGGACCGTTTTCTTTCACATCGCCACATCCACTGATTAAAGAGTTTCTTTCCTCCAGTTTGTCTTCTGTCAAGTTGAATATATCTTGAGTTTGAGTTTATGTTATGGTTAGTGACATGAACATAGAAGTTCCCTGGATATTGTAACATAAGAAAATACAGGACTGGTTCCTCACAGAATGTATAATGTACTTCCATCAAATTCCTTTTCTTCCTTCCTTCCTTCCTTCCTTCCTTCCTTCCTTCCTTTCTTTCTTTCTTTTAAACTTAGGAGCAGTATTTTTCCTTAAGACCTGATTTGAAGACCAAAAGCTTTGGAAATATCAGTGAGCGTGTTGAATTGAGGAAGAAATTGGGCTGTCAATCATTCAAATGGTATTTGGACAATATTTACCCTGAGATGCAGGTACCTGGCCCAAACGCCAAACCTCAGCAGCCCATCTTCATCAACAGAGGGCCCAAGCGCCCCAGAGTCCTTCTGCGTGGACGGGTAAGACAGCAATCCTGTCTGAGTGTTTCACTGGGAGCAGTGTAGAACTGTGATAAATGACTAGATTTAGTGCAGATTTAATTGCATTCTCAGGGTTGGGGATTTAGCTCAGTAGTAGGCAAGCTTAAGGCCCAGGGTTCAGTCCTCAGTTCCAAGGGAGGAGGGGGGTTGACAAAATAATGTTATTTTGGGGATTTCCCCCTACAGGCAGAAAAGTAGAAAAGGTTAGAAATTTTAATGTGTTTGCTGTTTCCACCCAGGTCAGGATCCTGTACTTGCTGCCTTGGAGGCACTGGGACCTTATGTAGGTTATGTATAAGCTGGAGACAGGCAGCGTGAAACCTGCAATAATCCCTCAAAGGGAGATGAGCAGGGAAACACAGCCCTTGTCATGTTCAGTCTCAGATCTATGAACCAACTCAGACAAAGAGTAAAGGTGGCAATTGGTGTGACATGCAGTGAGATTTCATACCCAAAGCACTGGCAGTCCTCAGAGCTTATTAGGGCACACTGTGGGCCCTTCCAATCACACTTAAGGCTTAGGGCCTACTGTTCTGAGTAATTTCTAAAACTGGCATTCTGGAGGCTGGGGAGACAGCTTAAGTGGTAAAGCACTCTATAACTCAGCACAAGGATTGGAGTTTGGAGCCTCAGAACCCATGTAGATACTGGTTAGCTGTGGTCCACCCGTAATTCCAGAGGTTGGAAGGCAGAGACAGTAGCCTTGGAGCAAGCCTATTGAGCTCTGTGGGTTTATTTGAGAGACCCTGTGCTTCAGTGAACAAGAGGGAAAGCTTGCACAAGAATGCACACACAGGTGTGCCTGACCACACCTGTGCAAATACCCCATACATAGCCAGAAAACTGGTGTTCTTGCGGGTTTCCCTCTTAAATTCCAAAAGCACATCTCCCAACTTTTGTATTTCTGGACAATTGAGCCTAGTACTTTTCTCCTGGTTTACTTTATAAAAGTCCAAACAACTACCAAGATGTTTATTGGGTGTTTTTCTTAAAAGAGGTATTTTGTACCCATATGGTTGAAATCCCTTCCAGTAGAATTCTTGACTTTTTGTGTCACTGTTGGAAGGTCAGCATATACATAATGTACATAAACAAACAATAAAGCAAAAGCTGAAAAAAATGTTTAAACAGGGTTTCGCTGTGTAGCCCAGGCTGGCTGAAAATTCATGATCCTCCTGCTTCAGCTCCATGAGTGCTTGCTTGGATTACAGGCCTTAAGTCACCATGCATGGCTTTATTTCCTGTCTTTATCTTAGCTCCTGGGTTCTTTACTTGGGATTGTGGAACAGCATTTCTCACTCCAGGCATACATCCCCCAAGCACCAAAATGTCTACATGGGAGTCCTCAAGAACACTGTTCTCTTTTGTAGCTCTACCACCTGCAGACCAAGAAATGCCTGGTAGCCCAGGGCCGCTCCAGCCAGAAGGGAGGACTGGTGCTGCTTAAGGCCTGTGACTACGGAGACCCATCTCAGGTGGGTGATGCCTGCTGGTGCACAGCCACTCTAGGGAGGGGAGCACAAGTGGAAAGGCCAACTGTGACTTAGAGATCATTTAAAATAACTACTTCTGTCTTCTTGTTTTTCTGCCTCTGACCATTGCTTGTCAGCTGTTTAGACCTTTGTGCTTTCTACTGTGGTGTGGGGAGTGCTCTTTTTCAAACTTTACATTCTCAGTAGACGAACCAAAGTCAGATTTTCCTCCTTGATTTTTACAGCCCTTTAACCTCAACATAATTTTGGTTCATTGCATCCACTTAATTTCAGTTAGTTTGTCTTTTCAGTATTACAAAAATGTAAGCAAATAACTTATTTCAGTTTGTTACTGTAATTTCAGGCTTAACTTATATGTCAGCATAACCTAACTGATCTAAACTCACAGTGGTCAGGATTGGCCTGTGTTGATTATCACTCCATTTTAGTTAGTGGTGCATTGCTGTCACAGGAATGGACAGCCCTTTTGAGAAATAGAATGTATGGTTGGACATTTCTCGAATTTTTTTGTTTGTTTTTTGAGACAGGGTTTCTCTGTAGCTTTGGAGGTTGTCCTAGAACTGGCTCTGTAGACCAGGCTGGCCTCAAACTTACAGAGATCCACCTGCCTCTGTCCTCCCCCACCCAAGTGCTGGTATTAAAGTCATGTGCCACCACTGCCTGGGAAAGCATTGAGAATGTACACAGACAGAGGTCTGAGGCCAAGTTGTAGCACTAAGTTCTCTTCTCTGACCACATGGGGACAGAAATGGAACTTAGGTCATCGAACGTGTCCCTCAGTGGCCTGAGTTAGTTAAATGGTTTTAAGTTTACTGAGTTGTGGCCATACAGGATTATGCTAATACTAGAGCTACTTATAACTAAAGCATAATAAACAGTGCAGTTCCTCAGTCTCGTTGGTTTCATGTGGCCAGCACAGGATCTGAAACAACAGCACAGGATTCAAGCAGGGCTTTCTAGTACCTGTGGGAATTCCTTTTGTGATGGCACCTGCAGGAGAATGTCTCACTGCATCTGTACTCAACCGTTTTTGAGGCCTGGGCCAGAAACGCACATCCAAGGGAAACCCTGCTTCAGGTAAAATCTGCTATATCACAGCAGACGCTGCTACCTGGAATTGGGGTGTGATAATTCTGCAGAAGGACTGAAAGCTTATTCAAGGACTGTGGTAACTAATCAGCTTTATAGGTCTGTGAATTAAGAGAATGATTTACAGTATGTAAGGAGTATGGTTTTTCCTCCTCCTGCCTGGTCTTGTCCCGCCGCCGCCGCCCAGTTAACACACCGAGACTCTGTATTAGATACAATTCTGTTGGCCAGTTACTTGTTTATCAGCTAACTCTGTCTTAATCATTAACCCATTTCTATGTATTTCCACGTGGTCTCCTTACCGGGGAATGGGGCAGGCATCTGGTCTCCCCGGTCTCTCCATACTGACTCCCTCCTTCTTCTTTCCTCCTTGTCTCCTAGTCCCTCCTATCTTCCTTTCCTATTGGCCAGCAGTGCTTTATTCATTAACCAGTATGAGAAACATATATACATAATGGCATCTCCCATCAACAATACTTTGTTTTGGAGGGCTCTGTGCCACAGCAAAGGAGGCAATCATGATGGGATCCCCTTTACTACCTGTCTAGGAATGAAAGGAGGAGGACAGTGTACCTCAATCCCCTTCAAAGACGCCCCAGAGTTCACTGTTTCAGATAGTTGAGGCAGTGCTCTGATCAGTGTGTCTCCTTGTGTAGACCACAGAGAACCTACTGTGAAGCTATCCAGGCAGGCCCTCATTCCAGTACGTAAACACTTTTCTTTGTTTTGTCTTTCTTGTCTTTAATTTCTTTTTAGATCTGGATTTATAATGAAGAGCATGAATTGATTTTAAATAACCTCCTTTGCCTTGACATGTCAGAAACTCGCTCTTCAGACCCACCCCGGCTCATGAAGTGCCATGGGTCAGGAGGATCTCAGCAGTGGACCTTTGGGGTGAGGAGCTTGTGCATTAACATGGGAGGGATGGGAGCTTGAACTAGTCCTAATGCTTTTACAAAAATCTTTCCTGAATGCTGCAAGAATGTTTAAGTAAAATCAAGTCCTTTTTTTTTTTTTCTTGCCTTCCCCCCCAGAAGAACAATCGGCTGTACCAAGTGTCTGTTGGACAGTGCTTGAGAGTGGTGGATCTGGTGGATCAGAAGGGCTCTGTTGGCATGGCTATCTGTGATGGCTCCTCCTCCCAACAGTGGCACCTAGAAGGTTAAAGTGGGACCTAGCTGGAGACAACATAATTCACCAGGTTTTCTTACACCTGCCACAAATGAAGGTGCTTTATGAAGGATGTAGCTGACCCCATCAGGCAAGAACCTTGGTAGAAGGTGCTACACTGGGAGTTTCATTATTTCTGCTGCTAAGGGAATCTTGTTTATTCCAGGGGAAACAGAAAATAATTCTAAAGAGATGGGCCTATTAGTATAAACCCAGGAAGCAGACATTTCTATTTATTTATGTTTCTCTTATTCTCCCTTGGAGATGGAATGGTTTCTGTCTAATCAAAGAGGACTTCATAGGAGATTTTTTTTTTCTACTATCATTTGTTTAATGTTCCTAATAGATTTTAAGAACTAGTTGAATGCATATTACTTTCAGCTTCAGAAGGTATCATGTATATTTAAGAGACATTTAACTATTATAAATTATTTTGATGACTTAATAGGGTGTCTACATTAAATAAAGGATCTTTTTTTGATCATTTAACTAGGATTTGTGCCTCTCCCATGTTCTCATTTGCTATGGGGCTGGCCTGTGGTCTGGATACCTGGGAATAGGATGGAAAATACTTCATGAGTGGCAGTTCCTTAGCTCGACCTGAGTGAATTTGGGTACAACAGTTTGCCTATGAAACTCTCTTCTAAAACTGCTAAGTAGAAGTATCTCAGAAAAATTCATAAAAGTTTGCAAACACTCAAGCATGAAAATACAAGATAATCTCCCTGCCCCAAATTTCTATTTCTCAGGTATAATCTCATATCACAGAAGCTCAGTGATGTTAAATAGAGCACAAAGCCATTTTAAACCCCATTTAACATCTGTGATATGCATCCTAAGTATTTTACCTGTTATAGTCGTCAAAGACTAGGATGCAAAAGGCAGTGGGTGGAATTAAACCCAGCAATAGTAATGACCAAGTTAAATGTCATGTTACTTGAGGTTAGATTGGATAAGAATGCAAGACCAATTGCAGGCTACCCACAAGAAGCTCACTATAACTATCCACATATCTGATAGTAGCTATGTTAACATGAGGTAGAATAGATTTCATCAGGGAGCGCTATTTAGGGGATAGAAGAGAGTTCGTTCTCTATGACAAAAAAGTTCAGTTCATCCACAGAAAATAACCCCAACACTTATACAGCTAACAACTTCCAAATACATGTTGCCGAGACTATATCTATCTACAATTATAGTAAGACATTCCAGCATGCCTTTCAAAACCTTATAGACACATAGGAAAACAGGATTCTGACATCTTGACAATACATAGTATCACTAAGTTGATATGGTTGGGAACACTCACCCCACTCAGTACCAGAACTCATGATCTCAGGTAGATCATAGTCCAACTATAAAACCTTCAGATAATATGGTGGCCCACAGATGTTGCTGAGTAAAGGGAAACTCATTTGTTGGGGGCATAGCAGAGAGCACATCACTGGAGAGGCAGGCCAGTCTTACATAACCAAACAAGTCCTTGCTATTCAGCCAAGCAACTCAAACTGTTCACATACTAGGCTGTACTCAGACATCCCCAGCAGCTTTTATTTATGCCCAAATTGGAAAAAAAGGGGCAAGAACAGAGTTTAATAGGATATGATAAAAGCTCAACAAAAACTGGAGACAATGCCCAGACAATGAAGACAGCAAGAGAACTCAATGAACACTGCCTGTCTCCAAGCCTCTCAGCCAGGAAAAACAGTTATATCTGTCTACCAAAGAGGTTCATGAGATCCTTGGGAGAATTCAGATCCCCTGAGAAGTGACAGGTTCCTCAACATCTGATAGTACCCTGACTCTTAGTCCAGGTTTCTTTGATGTAACCTGCCTAATTTTAGGTATTTAATTTTACCTAAGCCACAAAAAGGGACCAGAGCAGACTAAGGCTAATGTAAGGCAGAGGGCTACCCAGAAGCTGTGGGAAGTTAGTTTCCAGAGTTTGTTGTAGGAATACAAAGCTATTCTTCAAAATTCCAGCTGGCCTCTTTAGGTGTCAAAATTAGTTGAAAAATAATTCTGGAGGATTTGTGCCAATTCAAAAACACTATGCTACTGACTTAAGGGCAAGGAGCCAACTAAGAAAAAACAGGTCAGTGTGGCCAAAGTGACTTTTAGCAAGGAGCCAATCAATGCCTCGAGGAAACCAAGTCTGCACGTGGTCCAGGGATTCCCATTCCACCTTCCACACACAGGATCCACATAGGCCTCTGCACTCACTTGGCTTTGATGTGAGTCATGCCTGCATGCCAAGCACTTTGCTAACTCCGAATCTGCACATTTTACTGGAAGAACTGGTTGTATCAGAACAAACCTGAACCTTAATTCTCTCCATCCTTGACTGAATACAAATTTATTTCAGGACAGATAACAGATCTGAACATAAGATGAAAAATAAAGCTTTTGGAGGAAAATATCTTCATGACTTCAGAGTAGGCAAAGATTTGTCAAACAACATGTCAACCTTAAAATAGCAAAACAATGATGCTTAATCAGATTTAACCACTCCCTTCAAGACAGAATGAGAAAACCTTGAGACTTGTATTCCATGTATCACTTTTTACAATGCACCAAAGGACTGTGTGAACACATTAAGGTGGCAGAGGTGTGTATACACATTCACTGATGAAATGCAATCCAACCACAACACGTGCCATTTCACAACATAAAACAGACCCCATCCCACCAGATGGGGGAATGTCCTTCTGTATATATGTTTCAATTATTGGCTGATGAATAAAACACTGATAGGTCAGTAGCCAGGCAGGAAGAATAGGTAGGGCTACCAGATAAAGAGAATGCTGGGGAGAGGATGGAGAAAGAGGCCATTAGAGAGAGATGCCATGTAGATAGGACAGACCGAGCATTCTCTGGTAAGATAAGTCCATGAAGAAATACTTAGATTAATAGACATGGGTTAATGATTAAGAGAGAGCCAATAAGAAGCCTGAGCAATCAGCCAAATAATAATTTATTTGGGGGTAATGGGCTATGGGATCAGGTGACGGAACCTCCCCTAGGGGTGGATATGTGGAAATGCAGAGTATGCCTTAGGTCTTCCCATCAATACCCACAAGAACCAGAGCAACTAGTAAATAAGAACGTGACAAGAAATGGCTAATAAAAGGAAATGATTTGAGAACAAGTTAAATTCTTCACCTGTGGTAAGGAAACACACTGTGGCAGACCAATTCCTCTTATGGCTGGAATGTAAGAGATTGTGCTCGCACAGTCTCCTAATGGCACCACTACCTTCCAAGTAACACCAGCCCAGGCCAGGGCCTCCTACACATGGAGACAAACCACAGCAGGTAGCAGCTCTCTTCAGACTGGGTCATGGGGACAGAAAGACAGCATTCCTGAGCGACAAGCCCTCATGTGACCCAGAATTCATCCCAGAGCATAGGAATAGGTTGATAGAGTGGCTTTGAAGAAAGCATATCCCAAGAGGAATTTGAGACTGTGGAGTAGGTAAAGGGTAAACTGAGGAAAAGGAAACAGGGTACTTTATTTTCATGGCTAGAATGAAACTGAGTTGGAAGAATTCTCTATAAAGCAGCTTTCAAAACTCTAAAACCCAAGCCAACAGCCTGCACAAGGAGATGCAGACACGTGTACAACCAACATGGAAAGACCTTTGCAAACCACATACAAGGTTAACAATCGAGATTTGACAGCAGACAGGGCTGACAATATAATTAAGATGAGGTGCTGAGAAGTCAGGTTCCATTTCATTAGGGAAATCTCAAGGACCTTTAGCAGTAACAGATAACACTTTTTCAGTATGATGCTAGGCTTCCCCAGCTAGACAGGCCGCTGGCTAGGGTGTCTGGAGCATAAAGAAGCAATGTCAGTCTGCTCACCTGGTGAGGGAACCACTTCACTGTGTCTGGCTTCCTTGATATGCAGCAAAATACTTTTAGTTTGTCAGATTGGTGGGGGGAGGCTATCCCAGGAAAGTAGGGTGATCCATAAACAAGGGTTAGAGACAAGTTTAAAGGAACATTGGTCAACACCTTCTTAGTATAAGAAATCTAAGTGCAAATTGAAACTAAACTGTTTATGTCATAGAGACATCTCTGTGATGCTGGGCCCACTATGTCTCAAAGTACATGGTGCCAAGTGTGTAGTCAAAGAATTACAGGTACCTGGGCCAACATGGAGCTGAGGTCTTGATATTGTACCTGTTTTCAAGCCTAGGACTCACTGTGAGGTTTCAAAGTTGGGACCCAAGTGGCCATGGAGGACATCACAATGCTGCCCACTGGCCAGATGCTGGCACTGTACTGTCTACTGCAGTCTTCAACACACATCCTTTACCTGGGATGCTGCCCCTGGTACAGTATTTAGGTGACTGATCTGATGGTGAAGATTGTCTTTCTTCCCCTTCCTGGCATTGATGAGGTCGTGAGGAGCCAACATCACTCTAATAAACACAAAGGCATTCATTCCCTCAGAATCCTGATAGTCAAATGTGTTTGGAGGCAGAGAGGAGAGATGGCATCAAGTAGGAGTTCTGAACCCATCAGATTAGGAAAGGAATTTTGATGCTTAGTAGCGTCTTCATTCCTGAGAGATGGTCTTGTTTACATATATTTGGCCTAGGTTGACCTTAAACTCACAATTCTCTGCTTCACTTGGGATTCAAGTTATATACCATCATATCTCCTCTTAGCAGCTACATTAAGTTAAATATAAAGTTCATTCATTCTGTAAAACTGAAAAGTCACTTGAGGAAAGGAACCCTGTCTAGGTGGCCTAGCTGCAGCACACAGCTATAGTCCTGAGTTCTCAAGAGACTTGAGGAGGGGAGGGTGAGAAGGCTGCTTGAGTTTTGGGCAACACAGTGAGACTTCATCTCAGACAAATAAACAAAAATGGGCTTTAAAGAAGCAAATAAGCTCGAAGAGTGATCTTTAATCCCACCATGTTGAGCAACTAACACAAGTTCTCTTCCTTCTTTGACCAAGAGAGGGGAGCCCACAGCTGAATTGCCATCTGAACATCCAGACTAGTAATTTGGACACCAAGCAGAACCAAACTCCAAACATGACCACAGCCCACACAGAGCACAAGGCAGATTCTATAGATGTAAAATATTTTATTTGTAAATGGTGATCTTCTAAATCTGTGTCCACAAATTCCAAAACCCATAACACTCTGTATACTTCAAAAAATTCAATTTTGCCAACATTAGATACTATTATACAGAACAGAAAACAACGAAAACCCGGTAGGACAAATACTGGTAGGATGTCAGAATATTGTACAAGAGAAGAAAAATATTCAAGAAACAAATTTCATACAGCTATTTATCAAGAGAAAAATATATACAATTGATTTATTCTGTAAGATAAAAATACATCATGCCATATACATTACAAGCTGAGAGCTGTGTCACTGAATGTATCCACAGCTCACAGACCACTCGAATTGTGCACACAAAAACTTCATTTTATACTTAGCCTGTGAAGTGTCAGTACCAGAATTTT